TAGAAAACATTATTGATGCTTTTAAACACAAAATGAATGACTACTGAGAAATTAATAGCATTTAAGCTGATGTGATTTTACTAATGGAGCCTGAGTGGCATGTGGAGAATAATATAAAAGCAAAATTAAAATGGGAATAAAGAGTTATAAATCATATGTCTAAAGTAGACACACAAAGTGACTTCATTCATCTTTGTCTACACCTAATCTTACATCTGTGCTTTCTTTTTGTGTTTGATCTATTCTGATATCCTGTAAATATTAGGCACATAGCCAGTTTCATACCCAACCATTTTTATGATGAGACCAAGCAATTAACTTGCTTTAAAGAATAAATATATTATTTAAGACTGAAATGTGTTCCTTTTGTATAAATAAAAATGCAAAAACATAAGAAATCCATCTGTTACTTATGTTAAAAAGAGTACATATAAAAATATATGTGAAGAATATAATATAAAATCAAATACTAACATTAACCCCAAGGCTTTGAACTGCTTCTCACAGGACCAACAGAAAGTTCTAGGCTAATTACTTCTAAGGAATGGTTCCCAGTATATCGAATTACTACTGACCTACTTTGGACACACTGGGATAATTTATCAGGAAAGATAATTAAGTGAATATAAAGCTGTTTCTAAAATGAACCAAGTATCAAAAATATTTGTTAAAATCATAACTTAGTATTCCCAGTGCTGTCAGATGGAGTTTTGTCAGTTTGCAATTTTATTATGCATGACTTATTCACAAAGCTTTCTTTCTCCTTATAAATTATATCTGGCAGGATGCATCTGAGAGTCTGCGTTATATAAATGTTGTGTTTACACTATTTTCCATATATAAATAGAAGTAATCTTTTTAACATTTTACTTTATCTTTCTCCTAACCTCTACCCTATAAACTGGCATACTCATCGTATATACAGATGTTTTCCTTATTTTTGAAGTTCATCTTAAAAAGACGCATGTCTGTATCTTGAAAGTGGACATACTGGGGTGTAAACCATGTAACCTATTAAATTTTAACTAATTTGGAAGCTCAATACTTCCTTACACTTAAGTATATATATATATATATAACTGAAGAAGCTTTTGCAGCAATGATCTATTTCTCCTTTTGGGAAAATCCGACCATTTTCTGAGTTTTACAAACTTGATGCTTTCCATAAGTAGAAAGAAAACCAGAACACTTTGAAATGAAATCATGGAACATAAACTGGGGTCTTAGATTACATTATAAACCATCTGTTTTCTGAAAATAAAAACATGAAAATGTTATATGTCATTAGTATTTTGGTTTATCTAAGGTACCATCTAATAATTTTTTTTTCTTATTTTACTCTCTGTATCCCTCTACCTTTTAATTTTCACCCCATCTGTAGTGTGATTTACTTTTTAACTCAAAAGCTCCTTTAGATATAAAAATGTGATGAGCTGACTGTATACTACTGGCTTTTATACTGTAACAAGTATTAACACCTATTTCACTTCACCTTGAAGTGCCTAAGTATCTTTGACTATCCATACTTGGCTCTTATGGCAAAATATGTTGTTAATGTCTTAGGTCAATGTTAAAGATCAGGGATTAATTTTTGCTGCGGCATTAACATTCTGGTTACAGTAATAACATTATTCCTCACCTTTACTAATTCTCATTTTGCAGTGCTCTATTGAGGAAATTTGTATGCACACAATTATAGCTTGATGATATCGAATAAAAAAAGCAAAAGTCTGAGTTGCACCCTTTGTTTGCCCACCGTATATGCAGTGTTTTATGTTTACAAGAGCACCTGGCCATGATTTCATCCAAAATCAATAGTGTATCAAAGCTCCTGTGATTCAGTAAATGTTCTGTTTGCTGGAACTAAAATCAGATCCCTCTCCCATTGCTTCCTATCTTTATAGCCTATTTCATTCCATGCCTGCTTAATTTCATTTATTGCTTTATTCTTGTGTCCTTCAGCTGTTTCCAATCTGCCCTTCATGGCTATAAATAAATACAATACGTTAACCTACAAAGGTATTTATGTAAATGAAAATCAATGCACTTACAATTTCAGCACCATTCCTTATTGCTTACAGTGGGCATTTTAAATACATTTTATTTAAACCCTAACAGCTCTTCCTTCTTGCCTGGGAAGTATAATGACCCTCTTGGCTCCCTGCCCCTGCAGTCTCTCATCTTCACAGCTATGACCACTTAGCCCCCATCTGGAGGTTCAGACTTACTTTGAATTTTGGAACTGATCTTGTCCCTAGGCTGAAGGAATACAAGCTATGCTAGCCAAAAGCTAAGTAATTCAGAATCCAGGCAGCCCTACTGCTGGTTTCATTCCGACCTTATAATTCACTTCCCAGATTTAGGCTGCTGCACTTCTTCCAGCCCCTCATTACTAAGACTTGGCTTTCTACACCAACTCAGCGAAGTGTGTATCTATCCAGTTCTTCCTGTTTCCACCTATGATTCATTTTTACTGATAACCCAATTCCTCCATGACCAAAATTTCAACTTTATCTTCTTTCCACCCTTGTGTAACTGAACTTATTTTCTGAACTCCAGTGGCCAAGGTTAGGCCCTAAGGCTAACGGTTGAACTTTCTGATGCCACTGGTCTTACCCGTTTATGCTCATGTTGCCTTCACACCATGAGTCTAATTTCTATGAGGTTACCCTGAGCAACGCTCTGCTTGCTTGGCTCTTTTCCCTCTGCCTGCTGCAAACTTCTCCCTAGTCATGAGCTCTAACCCTGCAGGACTTGAGGTTCACTACATATAAGCTGCCTGCAATCTGGCCATCTCATTATCCAAATGTATCAGGGAAGAAGTGCTATTTTAATTGCATCTTTGGTTAAATGGTCATGCTAAAATATCTTTGAGTTACTTCTACTTCCTATTTTATCTTGACCCTCCCATTAAATTTTTTTAAATTATTCTTTGTAACATAAAATAACAATTGAATCTATCTCCTGAAGTTATTTTTAAGATATCTGAGAAAAACAGCATCCAAATAGACAAAACATATGACAGAAAACATTTAGCTGACAGTATAATCCAATGTCTTGAATTGCTACAGTTGGAAAAATGAAACTATATTACTTAAATGATGAGCATTACAAATATGAGAAATTATGGAAATGAAATTTATTTTTAATTAGGTACCAATGCAAAGCATTTAAAAGTAAAGTAATTGCAAGCATGAAAGATAATGTTGAATTAGATGCAGATATTCTTTGTGACATGGGCCAGCACTGTGGGGTAGCAGGTAAAGTCTCCACCTGTAATACCAGCATCCCATATGGGCACTGATGGAGTACCAGATGCTCCAGTTCTGATCCAGCTCCTTGTGAATGGCTCAGGAAAGCAGTCAAAGATGGATCAAGTATTTGGGCCCCAACCCTTGTTGTGGTCATATGGACAGCAAAATCAATGGATGGAAGATCTTTCTCTCTGTAATTCCTACACTAAAAAAATACATAAATACATCTTCTTTCTCTCTGTAACTCCTACACTAAAAAAATACATAAATATATCTTTTATTGTCATCAGACATTGAAATGTCCAGGACATTTTTAAGAAAGTATACATTCATCTCAAAGTGATCAAACCAGGACTTGGATTCTCACTAGGGTCTGAGCTGGAGTCCATTGGCTAGAGGTATTTGACAGACATGGAATCCCTAGTGATACCCACTGTTATCAATGATGGCAATTTTATCTGGATATTTAATAGCAATGTTCTCCTTAGAGTACTCAATTTATTCTAAGAACCTCAGTTTGTCCAGGTAGAATCTGTCATCCTAAAAACAATTATAAGTGCAGACAATTTGAGTCCTACCAAATACGACTCAAAATAAATATATATTACCTTCATTCCTTTTAGATAAGTTCCCCCTTTGTACAAAACTTAGATTAAAATGATTGCTAGTTGCTCCAAGCATATTGAAAAAAAAAGGGAAGCTAAGGATGTTTACTTGAAAGGTGTGAAGTGTGCACAGAAGAGGAGAGAGAGAGGAAGAGGGAGAGAAGGGGGAAACGAAAGAGAAAGAACAAGCAGAAGGAGAAGAGATGGAAGAGAAGAGTAGCCGTGTCTTAAATGTTTTTACTTTCCAAAGAAACAAACCTTATTCTGAACTATTGTTCACATTATGATATGAAGTAGGATCAACATATGTGGATATCCTAGCCAGGTGAAATTTTAGCAACCATTCTACAGCAATATTATTCACTAATTGTTTAACATCTTTATAGGAAGAACTGAGCAGTACTTTGGAGAAAGAGGGAAGTGGAACTTTAAGAATGTCCCAGAGATCGGTGGTTCCTCAACTGTTTTGCCGCATTCATTTCTGCGTAGGTGCACACATATTCCCCAAACTCATATTTTGAATTCTTGAGACCCAAGGTATTGTGGGTGAAAGGGATCTTTGATAAGTGATGGTTCTCCTGGCTGAGTCCTCATGAATGGGGTTGGGATGCTTGAGAGATCCATTGCCCTTTCTGCCATGTGAAGCTACAGTGAGAAGAATGCTACTGACAAAACCCGAGGAACTCTCAGCAGACACTGGAATTTCTGAAGCCTTGATTTTGGACTTTCCATTTTCTGGAATGAGGAGAAATAAATTCCATTGCTAATGAGCCACCCAGCTTGTAGTCTGTTGTTACAGCAGCCTGAACACAGGCAGTAAGCATCTTGCATTTCTTAGTGATGCTTCTTAAGAAAAATCCCAGAAACTACGATTCCTTTCTCTGTATCTCAGCACTAAGAGATTGTTGGAGGCTGGTAGTGCCCCAGGTAGTTCCCTAACTGTCCTACCTCTGAGTGCTACTTCCAAAATTCCTTGTTGTTACTGGAAGCTCTCATTCTCCTCACCTATTGAGAACCTGTGAGAAAAGAGTAGTACTGACAATGTCCTCTTGTGAAGAATGGTTGATGAAATAAAAATGTCATCATGATTTATTTAAATCACGGTAACTGATTAGTTTAAAAGGATAAAATATCATCTTACCAGACGTCTTCAGCATCTTCATCACATTCTGCACCAAACTGGCAAATATCACAGGTGGATGTCTCCTTCTGACTGGTTTCTCCAGAGCCCTCATGCACTGTTGGATAGGACAAGAGAGAACAGAAGAAATCAGCCTGGTGTGCATCACAACCAAAGCTCTAAGACAACTCTGTGTCAAGCTAATCCCGATGAACCTGCTTCTTATTGGTGGAGTTTCATAAGGTTGTAGTTCACACTTCTTTTACCATCTTAATCACAACTCAAGCAAAAAAGGGCAGTTCATTTGTAGGTAGTGAACACTTCTGCATTAAAAAATTACTTGTATTTATTAGAATGCTTCTATGGATGCATTTGAAAGGGACACACTCACAATCTTCAATTCATTCTTCAAATGACCACACTATTTCTGAGTGGGCCATGCTGAAGCCAGGAGCCAGAACCTCAGTGCATGTCTCCTGTACAGGTGAAAAGAATCCAGCTATTTGAGCCACCACCTGTTGCCTTCCAGGGTGTGTAGTAGCTGGAAACCAGCCTGGATATTGGAGCTGGCACTTGAATAGAAATACTCCAATGTAGAATACAGACATCCAAAATAGTGTCATATCTGTTGCAACAACAACAGCCCCATTTCTTTTTACAAGTAAAATAAGGCAACAAGCGATATGGCTTACTGAACTTGTCCAAATTGATCACCTAATAACTACACCATATTAAAGAGTAATTTGATAAAAACAAGAGTGGCACAATAGCAATTTTTGTAAAATCCTCTCTCTGTAAGTACTGGGATCCCATCTGGAGTCTGGTTTGTGTCCTACTTGCTTCACTTTCCATCCAGCTCCCTGCTTGTGGGAAAGTAATTGAGGATGGCGCAAAGCCTTGGGATCCTGCATCCATGTGGGAGACCTGGAAAAAGCTCCTGCCTTCTGACAGGCTCAGCCCCTGCTGTTGCAACCGAACCAGCAAATGGAAGCTACTTTTGTCTCTTCTCTCTGTAGATCTGCCTTTTCAAATCAATTTATAAATGTAGTTTTAAAGTAATAATAATTTAAATTGTTATTTCCCTAAAGGAAAAATTTCCAGATCCTATTTTATGAAAAAAAAATACTTGGCATTTTCTTATTTCTAAATTATATATTTTTTTTCACTCAAATAAATTTTTCATGTTTAGTTTAAAATTTCAGATACGCAGCCCTGATTTATTAGATATATTCACTTTACTCATCAAATTATTAACTGCTTACAAATAAAATACACTGTTAGTTTTTTACAAAACAACTTTCAGTCAATTCTTATTAAAGTTTCTTGACTCTAACAGAAATTCTGCACAGTTCTAACTGCAGGGATTTCCTGTTTAAGAGTTATTTACAGGTGCTGGTCCCTCCCCCCAACCAAACTGCTGGGACAAAACATGATAATATGCAACCTCATTATAAAATTAACTTTACAAAATTAAAGATGTAACACAAGAAATAATGCTTTAAAGGTGATGGATTACTGTTTACCTAATTTCAACATAAAAAGTTGAAAAGGAAAGTAGCTTTATATGAAAATAAAAATATTGTACATAGGCAATGACCCAGAAGATGATCTGACTCGTGGGCAGAACCTCGGCTTAATGACAGTTCAGATCCTTTACCATTGCAGAGGATCCTTTACCTTCGTGTTTCTGTAAACAGCACCGACAGTCAACAGAGGGAACATACGTGATTCAGCATAGCATCACTTCCTGCCTTCTTCAATCTCAACAAAGCATTTTTTTTAAAAGAAATAATTTGCCAGCATGAATCCTGACCTATCAAATCCAACCATATGTGTCTTTGCATATTTTCTCATATTTTTCTTTATCTAACAAAATAATGCTTAATGTTTACAAAAGAAAACGTTTTTATTCCTTATTTTTTTTAACTTACTACTGTGTATTTGAATGACCTTCCCCCAAAAAATTAAAAAGAAAAGGACAAGAAGACATCTCCAGGAGAATTGTCTATCTGTGGAGAATTCCGGGAAGGATAGAAGGATTTATTATTCCTTAAACCCATTTTCCTACTCCTTGAACATCTTTGCTTACATTAAATAAAGTTATGAATTACACAGGTCAAGGGTAATTACAAAAGTGTTGATGGTATAATTTTCAACTTGGAGGCTAAAACAAAAAGCTTTTTTCTCTTCTGCCCCATCCAAAACATAAAGATAAAAAAGAAATTTCTACACTGTGATAAAATAGACAGCACTTATCTTATTATCCACTCTATTACTTTAACACCAGCAACACCATTACAGCAGACCAGGGGAATAAGAGGAGAGCTGGGGGTCTGACCTCAGGGGAGACTGAACTGCGGAGGTCGGTCTCCTCATTACTTTCTTATTATTAATGCAACACAGATGCTGCTAATGGGAGAAAGCCTTTTAGTGTCAGCCTGATGAGGAGTTTCCAGGCTGAAGCCGCCCATCACTCAGGAAGCACGCCAGCACCATGGGCAGCTCCTTAATGAACAGTGATAGTCACTGAGGGGCAGCACCATTTACTTCAGCAACCAAGATCCCTGCTAGAACTTCTGTAAGTCACCTAGGGATTATTTTGCTAACTCAGTAGAACTAAGCCTATTTCTAGCCAAAACTCATTCCTTTTTTTTTTTTTTTAATAAAAGGGATATCGAATGGAGATGTTGGTAATTTTCCTGTAAGGAGAAGTAAAAATTATTGGAAAGACATTCTGGGTGGGCCCAACACAACAACCTAATGGCTAAAGTCCTTGCCTTGAATGCACCAGGATCCCATATGGATGCCTGTTGGCATCCTGGCCTCTCCACTTCAGTTACTGCTCCCTGCTTGTGGCCTGGGAAAGCAGTCGAGGATGGCACAAAGCCTTGGGACTTTGTACCCATGTAGCAGATCAGGAAGAAACTCCTGGTTCCTGGCCAGTTGATGAGTGAATCAACAGATGGAAGATCTATCTCTCTGCCCCCCTTTCTCTCTGTAAATCTGACTTTCCAATTTTAAAAGTAAATCTTTAAAAATATATTCTGGGAATAAAATGCATTCATACGAAGTTACAATGAAAAATAAAATCTTTCTATATTACTGAAACAAGCTCTCACCTTTGTCTCAAACAACAAAATCAGAGTACAAATTGTATTTAATCATATAGATGAAATGGCTTTTAAATAGAATTGAGTTCAGAGGCTGTGACAGATTTGCTTATTAAATATAAATGACGTGTAATATTCTGGAAGATACTGTACTAGCAGATGGAGTTTGGGACTTGTATAGGAAAATATGAGAAAGCAAACCATTCATAGGAATCTCAGCTCTCAGGCATCTCGAGAGGTCGTGGTGTGCCTCAGGAACCCCCACCCTATCCACTCTCTAGCATAGCATCTTTTATGCTTGAAGGACACAGCAACAGCAGGAGGCTTTGCTGAAATTCAGATTCTGACTCAGTGCGTGGCCTCTGGTTCTGCGTTTCTCACAGGCCTCCAAATGCTGTTGGCAGTGATCCATTGATCCAATTCTGCGGAGAAAGGATAGCCCTGTGCTTCTTCAAACTACAGTCCACAGTCTGATAGCAGGTAGGGAAATGAGTCCATCATGACCAACACCGTTGCAAACATAAAGCAGACTACACTAGATTAGAGAACATGGAGTGTTTCTTATCAATCAATATGAGTTTTCTTTTATAACACTGTTTTACATGTTTATTTACATATATATATATTCATACGGGTATGAAATATAAATTGCAATTCTTTTTAAAGGTCACAGTTGCAAAAGCTTGGAAACGTCTGTGACAGCGCATCTTACATGTTCATTAAAAGTGTTTACTATTACAGGTTTCTCCATTCCTTTTAGTATTAACAGACACAGGGAGGATCAGCACTTAATTATTTGCACTAATAATCACAAACAAATAAAAACCATTTACCTCAAGTGTTGTCTCATGCGCTTGCATTTTAAACCCTTTGAGTTGTAAAGTAGAAGAATTAGTTCCCTTTATTTTATAGAAACATGAAAGTTTTGGCAAATGATTGAAGAAAATTTGGTGGGTGAGGGAGATGGAACTACTGAAAGAACATTGAAGCTGCTATGCTGTGTTGTTATAAAACCGCCACTTTAACCGGGATTCAGATGGACATGATCGGTATGGTTGGACTGCCACATTGTGAAATGGCTTTACTCTGACGTTCTGCTAAGCGCCTTCATCACCACTTTGTTACGGCCCAGGGCAGGTCTTCCCTGTCCTGGACCCAGCTTGGTTGTCTGCCTAACTGACCACATGCCTCCTGGGCCACTGATGATGCTCATAACCTGTGTCATTGCTTCTGGAAACAGTGAAATGCAAAGGAATTTCAAAAAGTCAGTGGAAATAGAATTTAGAAACAGTTTATGGTGATGTAAGTTCTTTTCTTTTGAAAGTTAGCAATTGTTTTCATGATATACCATCTCCATGAATTTTTAAAGAACCCCTTACACAATGATCAAAACATGATTGTTCAATATTTTCTCTTTGTCAAGATTTGAGTTAAAAATTGACACTCGGTGAAATACTCCGATTTTAGGTATGCCTTTCAAGCAATTTTGAAAACACATACCAAGTCACATGGAAAAACTCTATCCTTTCAAAGCATTTTCTTGTATTCCTCCCTTGCCTAACTTCACCCTGTCTGATCTCTAATGCCAAGGATTTGTTTTTAGTAATTCTAGGCTATCTAAAATATCAAAGGAGTCATGCAGTGTCTGGCTTTTGAGTTAACCCTCCTTTCCTCAGAGTAATAGAGCTTGAGATTAACTCAGGTGGTTGCACATATCAGTACTTCGTATCTTTTCATTGCTTAGTACTTCGCTGAATGATAGCTTAGCTATCCATTCTCTTTTAGAAGGACATGTGAGTCGTTACCAGTAATTATCTGGAAATTACACTGGCTATTCAGAAATAAAGCTGCTACAAAAATAGATCTTATAAAAGATTTTTTAGTGCACCTAAGACTTCCTCTTGGACATTTACCTGGCAGGAAAATTATTGAATCTTAAGGTTAAAGTTACCACGTTGATGGCGTTTTTGACTTTCATTTTCCTGCTGCAGAAATTTTTAGAAAATTT